CCCTCTTGACCAGCTGTCGGTTGGCTTTACTGGAAGATTCATGTGACGCTGTTTCCGGTGAACACGTGCTGAGCTTTCGTCCGTCATATGACGCACATCATCAGAGCGAGGTAACATAATCACAACAAAATTCAAGCCTGCGAGTCAAGAAAACTCACCGGCAAATCCCTAAAAAGTGGTATATATACTCTAAATCTGGCCTATTTGAAGCAAATCCCTAAAAAGTGGTATATATACTCTACATCTGGCCTATTTGATCGAGTATAAGGTGATTTGGTTAAGGTCATATGTCAACTTTTCTATGTATTTGTGTATGTCTGTCTCTGTATTTGTATGTGCATGTCTGTGTTCACTTATTCAGAAAACCCGAAGTAATGGCTCAAAATAATTAGGACAGCAACAAGGAACGTCTGTTTTCACCCATCAAGGTTTGATGACCCCTATCTCCCCCTTTATACATACAAGTTATAACCATCACTCCGATTGCGCAAGGTCGGACACTCGTCTGGTTTTTCTGATGAGCCTTTTTTTGTTTTTGGTGTCGATGCGAGAGAGAAAGAGTGAGGTAAAAGGATGGAGAAGTGACTATGATTAGAACTACTCAACTCCTCTTTCCTTCAGTCTATTAATTAAGCACAAATAGTTTTTACTTATCTTCTTGTCGGTATTCCTCACATTCAAGGTATTTCCTATTCGGTTTATTTCTATGGCTTCTCTAATTTTACGTTTAGCGGAAAACCTACATTAATCAGCAAAACGACAAGTTTGAGACCATTCAATCTTGTGTCCCATTTCTGCTTTGTGCTCAGCCACCCTTTGTCGAATGGGACGATATGACTCTTCAACATAAAAACGACCACATGAACACATTATGTTGAAGCAACTTGATCCGGTAGTTGGTCAACTTTCTCTCTAAAAGTGGGTATAACTGAAGAAAGTGTGGTACTTTCCCTGAAGACCATTTTTATTCTCCACTTCCTTCCTTGTTCACCTCTCCTTTTAGAGAGAATGCACGAAGGTAAAGACAAAACATAAGAAAAGGTCTCTTTATCTCTCCTAACGTATTTACCATTCAAAAAGCTATTATGTATTAATCTAATGTTATTTTCAATCAAGTCTAGAGAATTGTCATTCTTAAGAAATATTATTTTAAGCCGATTCAGTTGATTGTCACAATGGTCTACATCAGCTAGTATTATGCTCCGAATAATCATAGATTTTAAAACTCCAACTTTTATGTTGTAACTTTGATTGGAGAAAAATTTGAGTATAAAGCCAGTGTGCGTTGGCTTTCTGTATACATCCCTTCTTAGCTGCTCACCAGCTCTGCTCAAGAAAACATCTAAAAGGGTAAATTAATGTCCTCCTCTACCTCCATTGGCAACTCAACATGGCAGTCAATCTGGTTAATTGAAAACAAAAAATTATCTTAACTATCCTTGCCATGCTGTCATATGGCAAAGTAGTCATCCATGCATCTAACTAACAGTTTTGGTGTCAATCCTACCTTTTCCATGAAGTGTTCCTCCAATCTTGACATGTTATTATTAGCTAAAATGGGAGTCAAGCAAGATCCCATTAATATGCCTTGCACCTGTTCATAAACTTTATCATTGAAGGTGAAGTATGTGCTGCTCATGAATAGATTAAGAGATAAGGAGACCTTTTCTCATGTTTTGTCTTTACCTCCAGGGAAACTACAACCCTTTCTTTAGTTATGCCCACTTTTTGAGAGAAAGTTGACCCATTACCAGATCGGGTTGCTACAAAATAATGTGTTCATGTGGTCGCTTTTATGTTGGCGAGACTTGTCGTCCCATTCGACAAAGAGTGGCTG